GCGGTATGCGCGCTTCGTTCAGTTACGTATTGCTTTTCACCAAAATAAGAACATGTATTTGGAAAACTTCCTCTATTGGAACAGACGACCGACCGTGAGGACCTTCCCAGAACACTACAATATTTATAAATGACTGAAAAATGTAAGAAAATTGTAGCAAAGCCTAAACGGGAAACTTCCTGGAAGGTACTTTTGCTTCCGTTAGGAAGCTCTACTAGAAACAATTTTTGGAATTAAGCAGGAGGTTCCTGGGACAGTCGGTGTTGTTAGGGTAGGTACTTAAATGGAATAATATAACGTAAACTGAAGTGGAGAGATATATTTATTGTATTATCAAAGTGTACAACAATAATGCTTTATTAAATAAATGTGTATACATTTATTACAACTATTTTATTTTTAACAATTTCTATAAAACTTCTTATATAATTGTAAAATCTTATGGTATATTCTATTACGCTAAAAATATTATCAATGTTTAAAATTATAATATAATATGTATATATTATACATCAAAATATTTTCATAATATTTTTCTACTATCATCGAAAACCAATTTATCTTATACACTAGAGAAATATTTTTTAAATAAACAGTTATTAATAATTTATTTACATTGTTGAATAGTTAGCAAAGGATAACGCCATTTGAAATCTTTTACAGAGTTTTCAGTATAAATAATAACATGATAAAATGAGTAGCATGTATATCGATTAATAACCTTAAATATACGACATTTTTTTTTTTTCTTGAAAAATATAAAATATATAGAGTTAATATTATATAAAATATATACTTAAATAGAATAATATAACGTAAACTGAAGTGAAAAAATATATTTATTGTATTATCGAAGTGTACAACAATAATACTTTATTAAATAAATGTGTATACATTTATTACAACTATTTTATTTTTAACAATTTCTATAAAACTTCTTATATAATTGTAAAATCTTATGGTATATTCTATTACACTAAAAATATTGTCAATGTTTAAAATTATAATATATTTTTCTACTCTCATTGAAATCCAATTTATCTTATATACTAGAGAAATTTTTTAATTAAACAGTTATTAATAATTTGCTCACATTGTTGAATAGTTAGCAATGGATAACGCCATTTTAAATCTTTTACAGAGTTTTCAGTATAAATGAAATCATGATAAAATGAACAACATGTGCATCGATCAATAACCCCATATATACGAGCTTTTTCTTGAAAATTATTATTAATCAAATTTTCAATTAAATTAATATCACATAACATAGTTAATGACGATGTTACTAATGTTCTGCAAAATTTAAATGCCATATTTTTATTCAAGTGTAATAATTTTTGAACTTCGTTTAACATGTTAGAATTATATAAATGTAATAATCGGAAATTTTGATTGGGTTTAAATTCTTTAATATGTTCAGTCGATAATTTTAATTGTTTTAAAGGGTGTATATAATTTATATATTGAATTCCATAATTAATAAACTGTTTTCGTAAGTAAAGTAATTTTGTTTTCAAGACATCCCGATAAAAGATTATATTGATCACATCACGGTTGTATATCATTATTATATTCTGTGAAGTTACCATATCAAACTTCTCCCCTGGTTGCCTCCTCGATCTTTTGGCAGCACATTGTACAGTCTTCATCTTGTTTTCTTCTCGCTATATATATATTAGCTGTAAGTCCACCTTGGTAGGTCTTATAAAATAATATAACGTAAACTGAAGTGGAAAAAATATATTTATTGTATTTTTGAAGTGTACGACAATAATACTTTACTAAAGAAATGTGTATACATTTATTTCAACAATTTAACTAGTGTAATATATTAGTGAAGTATACTGAGAAATATACAACAACTGAACTGTCGTTTTATAGCCAAATTTTCAACATTAAATATGTTTTCAGTTAAACATTTATCACACTTTCGATGATTATATTTTTATAGTCTATTAAGGACTATAAGATATATTAAAATATAAAAATATATAATTAGTTTAATGGAGAAATAACTAAAATAATATAATTATACTAAAATAGATTTTGAATGAATCTAATAAAGTTTTTAATTCGTTATTTGATTGCCTACTCAAAAGTTAATAAAATGCTTTGGATAATATATTGATATTGTAGACATATAGTATATCTATAAATATCAGTATCCTTTCGCGAATTGTACCTTAAAACTGTTTATTTATAAGAGTTAATATTATATAAAATATATACTTAAATGAAATAATATAACGTAAATTGAAGTAGAAAAATATATTTATTGTATTATCGAAGTGTACGACAATATTACTTTTTAAAGAAATAGTGTATACATTTTATTACAATAATTTATTATTTATAACAATTTCTATAGAACTTATTATATAATCGTAAAATCTTATGGTATATTCTATCACACTGAAAAATATTGTCAATGTTTAAAATTATTACATATTTTTCTACTATCATCGAAAACCAATTTATCCTATATATATATATATATACTAGTCTTACTAGTGTAATATATTAGTGAAGTATACTGAGGAATATACAACAACTGAACTGTCATTTTAAAACCAATTTTTCAACATTAAATATGTTTTCAGTTAAACATTTATCTCATTTTCGATGATTATATTTTTATAGTCTATTAAGGACTATAAAATATATTAAAATATAATAAAATATGGACATATTGATATTGTAAACATATATTATATCTAAATATTAGAATCCTATCGCAAATTACACCTTAAAACTGTTTATTTATAGATATGAATACATAGTATATCTATATACTTATATAGTAGGCATAGGAAATAAATCATTTTATATTTAATTATAAGATATATGGGTGGAAGCTAATTTCACATATTATAATATTATCTTCTCTATTACAATTGATTTGATACTGATTCTCACTGACGATAACGATTTTTTTTTTTTTTTTTTTATGGTACAACACATACATGACGTGTATTCATTGCTCGACGTCATTCATTTATTCACTATAATATTATACTATCACACTATGATGTAAAGGTTGTGAGACCGTTGTTGTTGTTTTCGGTATTCAAATGATGGAAAGTAGACCGCTTCTAATGAGAGAAAGTTTAAGGCCTTTAATGAGATAATACGTTGTTGACCATTTCCACATACCTTCAGGTTCGTGTATATTTGTATAGCTAATAATTCGAGTAGGGTATTTTCAATCATATAAATACGGGTTGTATCAGTATACCTGTATACTCGATATCACTCGTCTACTACTCGCAATCGATAACAAGTACTCTAAGTACGACCGTTGAACGGACAAATACGAAAAGAACGACGACGACGACGACGACGACGAGCACGACAACGATAGACTACTACGAAACTGAAGAATACGAGAGGGAATCTCCTTCATTATTTTTTCACGAAAAATTGAGTGAGTATTATATTTTATTGGATAAACATAAAACATATATGAGTTATAATATATATTTGTATATATATATTTGTATATATATATATATATATATATATATATATATATATATATATATGAGGGTTCGAGGTATAGTGAGTAATATTTTTTTTTTTTTTTTTCTTTTACTCACATCATTGAAAATAATAATTTCCATGATTTCATGATTTTATGTATCGGTATATACGATTTATTTTAACAATTGTCTTAAGCATTTAAATTATATAATAACATAACTCGTAACTTAAATATATTTTAAGATATTATCAAAGTAGAAAATTTTAAATCGTTGTCTCACCGTACCCCAGCCCAGTCCCCCCCCCCCCTATACCTATTATATAAGAGATGGAGGGCATATTAATATGTCGTGTAACTCTTAATCATATTCATAAATCATATATTAACTATATCATTAATTAACAGGATAATATGGAAAGTTTAAAGAAAAGCTTGACGATGCAGTCGAATACACGATTCATGTCCGTGGGGGACCTGACTATTAACTTTCCATACCCGATCATACGAATGGAAAATCGGGATACCCAATATGGACTGACCGTCCACTGTGTACTAGAGTGTGGTGAAGATGGCGGACTAATAGAAGTGTATCTCCCAAGATCCATAAAAATCGGCGATGATGAGGTGAGAGAATTCAACCGGGGCGGAGAAAATAGGATGTTAAATCTGATCTTCAAAGGACGGCGTGGACGGTCATTTAACATCGGATTTCAATAGTTCACTATAAATAAACATGTATAAATAATTATTATTATTATTATTATTATTATTATTATTATTTATTTTATTTATTATCTATTGTAATAAACCAATCACATTTAATTTAATTGAAAATATGTTTTATCTTATAACCCTCACGTTATGTTCATACTCTCATTCTATATAATATGTTAGAGGAAATAGTGTTTGAAATATATATATATATATAATATGTAAATGAAACAGTCAAGCGTAATGTGAGTATAATATGGTATTATTTCTACTAGAAATAAGTGTATACTATTTTATAAAAATACTATTTTAATATTATATTATACAGCGAAATATTGTTTACCAGTGGTTAAAACTCTTGAAAATATTTTTAAGAAAAGTGAGTGTTTCACTTTTAATTAACCTTTAATGACTGCTGAAACATTGACAACCTATGATTATTATTATTATTATAGACAGTCGAATTTTCTCTTTTAGTTTTCACTAAACAAAGCTATTAAATCATAGTCCTCTATGCATTCTAAAATAAATATAATATCGAGTGATGTTTAAATATCACTATCATTAACAATAATAATATAATGAGTTAGTATCTTTCTGTCAACATATTCAAACGAAACGACATTAAGAAAATTATGTACGATTAATGTATAATTATGTATAATAGAGTTTAAGTTATTAACATTTCAATCTATATGTTGGAGGTGATAGTATTTGAAAATATATAATATGTAAATAAAACAGTTGAGTGTAATGAGAGTAATATGATATTCTACTATTAATAACTATAAATATTATAAAGCTATGGATTTAGTAGGAAATAATTTAAAGTGATATTATATAGGGCTAGGTTATATAGGATATATCTCATAGGGTAAATATCATTCGTAAATAAATATATATTTCTGAAAGCATGTATTACTATCAAATAATATATAATATATCTCGTCATATATTATTATTAATGTAATGAAGTTGTCGACGACGGAGGTGTTTTCCCTATCCGATAATCAAATATTAATCGGCTTATCAGTATATTTTTTTCTTTATCTATGTATGCTGTTAATTATAATCAGATACAAAAGTATATTGTTATAGTTAGAAGATAATGCAAATATAATATATAAACTATATACATACATTTAGCGGTGAACTAATGATTTTTCTACCGCCCGTAATAATTAGATAGCGAGTGAATAACCTGATAAAGGAATTTGTTTTCAGCATGTTATAGATAACACGGTTATTACTAAATTTTCGTTTATGAGACATCACCCCAGCCCATAACCATACACTTTAAAATTATTTATATATATATATATATATATATATAGGTAACTATGTCATCATGCTCGAAATGTTATTCTATCACGAAGGTGTCTATCCTAACCCGACCTCACCCCGCATCACATACTTTAAATATCTATTTCGTACACGTTACCCCACCCGACCGTCACTATCACCCATTCTTGTATATACATATATATAATACAAAATATATACTCGTATGATACGAGTGATATTAAAATAGTTCCAGTGGTCGCTCGGTAGTGAATCTGTTCGATACAACGAATTGGGTGTATTATTACAAAAAATTCTGTAACCTGGATTCATCTACAATATTATGATATCAGCTATTTTAGACGTTCATTATATTCTCGGAGTCAACGGGGAGTACTTTATTAAAGAAATGTCTGTAATAGACATTGAATCGTCGTTCAATCAACACTGGATATTTAGACATACGTCTTTGAAACAAGATGCGAGAAGTCTAAGTGTAAACAGTTACCTTCATCGGTCGCATCACGGTTTATCGTTAGATTACGGCGGAGTAGAATATGAAGAAATACATAAAATATTCCAATCGTTAAAATTCAGGGGGATTTACGTAAAAGGGAGGTGTAAACGACGGATTATCGCTGACTTTATGCCGCATGCTGTCATACTCAATTTGGAAGACTTTGAATGCCCCCCCCCCCCCCCGCATTTGTCGGTTGACCCGCGGAGAAACACTGCCATGCTGTGGTTTTCATTCAGATTTCAATCCGCAACAATGTACATTGAATAAAGTTTTTGCAATGTTTAAAATGGTATGTTAATAATCTTTAAGAATACGGAAATTGTTCAACCACGTATAAATTATATTTTACATCACGTATGGTTTTAATTGCTATACATTATAAAATATAGTTATAAAATATATATATATATTTTTTTTTTTTTTTTTTTAAATAATTCTTAAACCCCTAATACAAACCATCGTTCAACCGCTCGAGGAACGGCACTGTCACTCACAGAACGGTTCGAACACTCACAGAACGGCACGGTCGCTCACAGAACGGCTCGAACACTCACAGAACGGCACGGTCGCTCACAGAACGGCACGGTCACTCGCGGAACAGTCACTCTCGGCGGTCACGAACTGATTCAACACAGATCCAGTTTAACATAATATGTATTTTCCCTCTGTATATATATATATATATATTATATATTTCATATCATAAATTACTATTAGGTAAATATATTAAATGTATTTTTACCAAACTGTGTATTTGTATAATATATATTATATTATATTTTTATTTTTATTATATATTATATTTATTTTATGAATAATCACACATAATACTATTATATTACAATATTATTTACATGGGTCCGTGAAATACAATATAATTACAATATATTATTCAAGTGTACAATATAGAACAAAATAAAGACATACCTATATACAATATAATATCACGCGCGTAGCGTGTAATGGCCGTACGCGCGCGTACGGATTCGATCTTCGTCAACAACACGTTTATCGTCAAAACGATTAAGGGTCATTTTCATGGTCTTAATCGTTTTGACGCGGTGTTCGAACGATCGGATCGAAACGTTTTCCCTATACGGTGTGTACGGTGTATACGTGGGAAGTGGTGTCGGGGTGAATTTCACGCCGGCAATGGCGGCGGCGCTAGCTGCCGCGGCATTCCCGTGTAACGTGTCGACGACCGATCGGGCCATCAGACGCGCACGCCGTCTCATCTCCACGTCCTTCCACTCATCGTCGTCGCCAAAGTCACCGTCGTCGAAATCGTCCTCGTCCGTGCCTAGCTCCTCGCTCTCGTTACCGTCACCAGCGCCGTCGTCCTCGAACAGACAACGCTTGTGGTCCTCGAACGTCATGTGATTTCGGACTACATGTCCTCGAATCCCCTTAGCAACAACTTTTTCATCCCCCTCGATTTTGTACGCGTAAGATTTCGCGCGGAGTGCGATGAACTCATACATAGTACGTCCAGCCGTTTCGTCCTTGAACAATCCCGGTATTTTCTTACGCGTACCGACGTAGCAGGGGTGGGTGACGGGGAGATTCGAGGTGTCCATACGTTCGAGGAGTGCGGGGTTGTCCACCAGGTCCTTGTAAAAGTCCTCCGTGTTCACTCGATACACCAGGGAATCTGTATAAAGTCATTATGTGCGTTACATATAAGAGTGTAAATAATATTTATTATTTGCTAAATACCTGTATCCATATACAACAGTCTAATCGAATCGTTGTAATGCCGCCGCATCACGTTGTAATGATAGTCGTACATTAACTCTTTGCTTATTTCCAGGACGGCGAACCCTACGTAAATAGGCTTGGAGAAATGTACCTCACTCTTTTGCAATGATACGGCGGCTAGATTCTCGGTGTACGTGGTCACGTGTTTGAATGTTGGTTTATTTACAAGTTTCCGCATTCGACGTGGACACGAAACCAATTCCATGGAAATGCGGTTCCGAACGCACTCCATAGTTTTCCCTATAAATTCAAATAATAATAATATAATACAGTCCGATTAATGACGAGCTGTCTGATATATTTACCAAACACCGCGTTATTGAGTAGTTTGAAGAAATCACGTTCAAATGCATTGCAGGCCTTCTTCCTCATACTCGTATTTAAATTTATGTATTCGGCAAGCCACGCCGACTGTCGGAATTCCAGCACCCTGTGTACCTATTATCGAGGTTAATTTCACGTAATTTAATTTCATGTATTATATATTACTTTTTCCACCGTCAGTCCATTAGCAATGGCCTGCTTTAAATTCCTATAGTGAACAATATATCGCTCTTTACGTTCAAGCGTAACCATTAATTTGTTCACTTTTGAGCCCGGTGGCACGGCATTCCGTGGTAAGAAGGGGAGATCGTTGTGCGCGTCATGCAGGTTATCGGGGTAAGCGATATCGATCTCGTAGATACGCCCAACGTCGGATTTGTCAGTCATACCGTCCAACAGCTCTAGAGAGCGATCCAAATCCCCCTCGTACCACTTGAACCCACCGTAGGGCATGTACTCTCCCATGGCGTACCCGTACAAGTTGTTACCTGTAATATAAAGTTTTAAGTTAGTGTAAATAATTAATTATATAAACGATGTATATTTACAATCCTGGTAGACGAGCCAAGACGACGGCTTCTCAGCATCGTATCCCGGTGTCTTGGGGTTGTTTGCCCGACAGTACCGTTCACTGGCCTGGACCAACCCCCCTCTAATCCCCTGTTCCATAAAGAGTATCATATCGTAATCAGTGAGTAACTCCAGTGAGACGTCCGTATACCTCAACATGGCATCGAACGTAAACCCCGGCGCCGTATAATAATACACGGGGTCGAGGTTGTACGTTGACATGCATAGGTCGCGGAAGTTCTCCATGACGTCGGCCAGAAGGAGAACGTCCACCTTCAGGTATAGGTCGCTGTAGTCACCGAGGGTTGGGCACTTGAAGTGACGCCACACCTCCATCGCGTGTACGTAGTCCTCATCACTTACATGCTTTTCGAGTAGCACGCTGTAGAAGTCATGTTTCGGAGGTAGGGCGGTCTCCTCGAGCTTCGACCATTCGTCGGTATACTCGTACGGAAACACACCTTTTCGCGTGACGAGTGGCATGTCGGTAGGCTGAAACACTTTGGAGGTTTCCCGAAACTTCTCAAAGTCGCCGGGTCTCGTGAGGAGGTTCCCGGCCAACTCGGCCAGGCTCGAAGCCATGAACCGACACGAGTCCAAGAACCTTACACTGAAGTCGGGCATGACGCGCTTCGAGAACGAGATGTAGTTCTCCTCGGTGTTGGGGATCACCGTTATCGACTCCTTATCGTAACCGAGTTCGGTTACGATAAAGTGTGCGTCATATTTCGACAGGTTGTGAAGGAAGCACGGTATAAATTTGGGTGTGGCGAGCTTGAGGTTGCACGGCGCGCAGAGTGTATGTCTCAGCCGTCCCGACAGATGACAGTGGTCGGCGACTTTACACCTGGTCTCAGTGAACTCTAACTTACACATATCGCACACACTCTTCGCGTTATGAGCACGTAACTCCTCCACACCCATCGAAATCGACACATTAGTCGCCTTCAGCAGGTTCCCCAACCTGATAGTGAGCGCAGTCACACTGGCGATAAAGTGTTTAGCCACCTCGTAACGCGATTCCGAGCCGCGGTATACGACCGGCGTTTGTGGTATGTCGTATTTTTCCATCAGCGCTACGGGTACGTCTACCGCCGCCTTGACAAAGTACCCGTAGCTCATCGGATGATGTGCGTGTATCCCGTCAGTGCTCGCCCCCACCCGCTCCGTCTGTTTTTTGAGTAGGGCTTCAAAATCAGCGTATATCACAAATGGATGACGCTGCATGTTGCCCCCTCCCTTAAACTTGAGCACTTCTCCCTCCTCCGGCATAACTGGTAAAATCGGTTTATTAAGCCCGCATAACCGCATATGTTGTTGGAGAGCCTCATTACCGCACAATTTATTTTTCTTAACCTGCTCATCGAATGATGTGAAACATCTCTTACAGATAAATACTTTTCCTCTGTGAGATGTTTTCTAACTCCGCACCAGTCGCGAAAAATTTGAAATATACGTATAGTGCATCCGCTCTGAGCCTTCAATCACGAGAAGGTCGAAATGTTCGACCTTTTCGTTCCCGACAACTCTGATTGGATACACTACACCCCATTTACTTACTTTTTCCCCCTTCCCCCCCCTTACCCACCTTTCCCCCCTTACCAGGTTTCAATCCATATACGTTTACCGACACCCCCTTATTCCGTCGTTCGAATATATGGATTTCCGATATAGGTGTCGGCGAGGATAGTTCGGAAAAATCGTACCGATGCTCTTCGTTATAATAATTGAAGGGTCCGGTGCAATAACAAGGTATCTCCACTTTTTGAAATTGTTCAGGAGACATAAAAAATGTTTTTACTGACCCACCTTTCATCATGTTACTGTTTCCAAAACTGATTTTTATGCTTTGGATGTATATATAACATTCCATAAAGCCTTATTACTTTTAAATAAATTTGAATAATTTTAATTAATTAATTCAAGTTTAATTTAGTGGAGATATATGGGTTCTTGCCCCAAAATTAAAATCCATGTTTTTTTGTTTTTTTTTTATCTCAGAAATTCTTTCATCATATGTATTGAATAATCTCAAAAAACATTTATAATGTGTAATTTATACCTATAATCAAAATCATCCAACCTATCACAACCTTTTATAATGATTAAATTGAGTAACTATGTGTTTTAAGGAGATACCTGGTTTTTTGACCCAAAATATAAGTAAAACTTTGGTCTATGCATTCATTAATGTAGCTTTGATATCCTTTACGACTAAAAAAATACTTAACAAAACTACTTTGGTAGGATATTTCATTTTAGAATATAATCATGAGCATATTAGTACCTATTAATGAGCACATAATAAATAAATAGAAGCATTATCGGAGCATAAACAAGGTATCTCCGGAGATATCTGGTTCTTGCCCAGAAAATGCTTAAAGTACAGTTTTGCCATCTTTCTGAGCATAAACAAGGTATCTCCGGAGATACCTGGTTCTTGCCCAGAACATTTAAAACCAGATATCTCCTTTTGTATGATATTAGCGTATTTAATAGTCGGAGATATATCGTTATTGCACCGAAATGTAGACAAATTTTTCCACTATTAGAATATGTTAAAACATGCATTTCGAAAAAAAGTGGAGATACCTTGTTATTGCACCGGACCCTTCAATTTTGACCTACACGATTATGGTGACCTACTGGAACGTGTCGAGCTAGAATAGCCCACTTGAAGCAGTCATCGTCAATATTCATTGGATTAATGACGGCCTTTTTCCGCATAATGTTTTCTGGTAGTGGAATATACGAAGACCCTCCAAGAGGGGTATGTTCATAGATACCTAACAGTAAGCCATCGATACTGGATAGGGTGAAGCCCGACCCCTTTTTTATATATCTATCTTCCTCGGACATGAGCGCTGCAAAGTCCTCATCGACCATAGCTCTCACATCGCTATGAATGTACGCCTCCCTCGACACGGTTTTAAAAGCTCTGTCCTCGGCTGGTAATTCCCTATGTGCGTACACGCTCTCCAACTTCAAATTATATTTGATCGGGTTAATACGCACGCAATAATTGATTTTTTCAATCAACTCGAGTTTTATCGATTCTAAAAACGCCTGATAACTCACACTGATTGCGCACCGCCGTGGAGCTGTTGAACCGAGATCGTCAGCTATGGCCACACGGATACTCGCGGCGCGTCTATTTCCGATGAAGGTTGTAGCAATAGTAACAAGTGTGGAGGAGGTTATTAACACTACGGTGCGAAAAATAATAAATCAAAATACAAGATGTGCGCTTGGGCACGGTTAACATTATTATACAAAACTAGTAAAATGGTAATATTTGGGGGGTGTGATCACCAACAATGACCCTAAAGTATGAGAGGCGAGGGCTAATGATAACAAAACAAACAATAACTCTCTTATCTGGTCGTCAATGATAGCAGTGATAACAATACAACCAGTTCTGGACGGCGAGGATGACAGGTACCAACTGATTACCAGAGTGGAGGTTCACTAACGTGCATGCCGTCAGGGCGGGGTTGGTACACCTGGCTGAACAGCGCTCACGGCTAACGGCGAACTGCGGACAACAATGGACACTGAAGATTCCACGTGAATCTCTCCGACGATCACGATCCGGGATGCGCACAGGGCACACTGTTAATAACGGGGTCAGCAGCACTATAATTAACTGAAACGCGAACGCAAAAGCCCAAGAAACTGAATAGTTTGAAATGGCGCGACGAAATGGGTGTAGACCACATGTGCTCGGGCACGAACGATACACAAACGGAGCGATGACACAAGGAGGTCAAAGCCAGGCACAACGGACAGGATGGTCATACACGTCGACGCGATGAACCTGCGGATGGCGACGAGCGTGCAATCGCGATAAAAACACAAAATAAAAATAACGGCTGACAAAGCGACGGCGTCAGCGAACACACACGAACTGGTTGACCGTTGACGGCGATGCACCGCGTCACTGAGCAGGGGGACAGGGTCGAGTGCGTGAATGTTCGACGCCCGTCGTGACGTATGACAAACGACAGTGTTGCCCGAACATATTCCCCATGGGAGCGCAGCCTCCATCCGCTGGATGGCGTGGACGACTGGAAGGTATTGCTTCACGGAATCACGTTTGCATCATCACTTACCGCAACAAAATTAATAACTACACATATTATAACATATTTTTAAACATGTAAACTAAAATAAATGGTACTGTAACAATATCCCGAAACAACAAAACATATCTAGAAAATCACTTATATAAAGAAACACACAGGCGAACAGAGCGTGTGTAACACCTAACTGGGATGTACCTGGACGGATCCTTGCGGTGGGCACGACCAGCGACAGGCGGGATTACTTCGCCGTGAGCAGTTCGCAAACGGACCACGCGCACTACACCATCTGCTCCTGGCAACAATGGAATTACCCTTCCCATTCGCCACGGGGAGACTGGTTGTCCCGGATGACGGATATCGGTTGAGGTGAATATTTGATACTGGTCCACTGTGCGGCTCGCAACGTGGTCAAGTATTCGGTGGACCACTGTCGCCAAAATGCTGGGTGACATTGGTCAACAACTCCAGCGTTGACAGATAGATTGGTCTTGCGTCGAAATTCTGCGGTGTGCCAAGTAATGGCTGGCCAATGAGAGTGGCCTGGAGATAAATAGTCAAGGTCGGACGGGTCAATGACAATGGCGTGAGACGGACGGGATGAGCACCGCCTCTACTCACACAGCACTGTGGTAATTCTCGCGCTGAAAACTGGTAATTTCCATGACACGAATCAACAACCTCTAGTGGATGAACCGCAGCCTCCACAAACCCCCAAAATGTGGGCGCTGGGCGGGTTAAATGCAAAATCGTAACAGACGTGAGGTCACCCAATGCGAGCATCGCCGCTATTAGATGATGCGTTATTGTCGGTCGGCACCCGGTGGTCCCGCAGCGTGAAGCATCCGACGGTAAACCGCGCCGGTCGAAAAACGGTCGAATGCCGGAAAAAGCGGCGTTGACGCTCCAGTGAAACCTCGAGTGGCATGCCTTCACTGCAAAACAAATAAAGGGCGACATACACTTTGTATGATCAGCTTGTAAGCGCGTTTCTTGCAGTTGCGGGGACAAAATCGTGCCTACACGGACAAACGGTCGGCATTGCTGGACACGGGCAGGTGGCAAATCAGACTAGCAGCGTGGTGATGTGATCAAACCGAACGCAAAGCAGCGCATTCGTTGCTCACCCGTGCAATACCGATCGTATGAGAACGTCCAGGGTGTCGAGACACCATAGGCGGTCACGACACGTGGTCCAGCATACTAGGATCCAGCGACAGCAACATAGCTTAGTGGTCGCGGGATCCTTCGCTAGGTATTGGTGCCGACGCTCATACGTTAGTAGCAGTGACGTAATCACCGCCACTCGACGATACCATGCCGGATCACATAACCCGGACCAGGCGGGCAGTGAGCTGACGCACTCGACGGTATGCCAGTTTGCTCGTTGACAGTTGCTCAAAATGTCGTGTAGACTCTTGCTAACGGCTGAAGAAGCATGCGTCGACCTCATGACGAGCGCAATATCGGTCGCTCACACGGTAGCACGGAACATGTATGAACCGGGAAATACGAGCAACAACGCGTAACAGTCTGTCATACGGCGAAACGGTGAAACGCACGGTAGTGGGAAGTTGAGCGCGACGGTCAACGAACACTCGACTGTACAGCATCGTTCAGGGAAGCATAGTGGCACCGCTGGCCACGTGACAGATGATTGCATAGAAAACAGGACCTTCCAATAAAGAGTTAATGAGCAAGCTCATGGTATACACCTCTGACAAACGGCGGGTGTCCCCGACGATACATGTACAATGCAACGGGAGGAGCGAATTTGATTCTGTGTGGCGGTTGGATACGATATCTTGAACGTTTCATGGCGGTTGACCCAACCATGACGGTACGATCGTCGAGTCCGTCCAGCCATATACACCGGCGATGTGCGAGTTGTTGATCGAAGTCACGACGCGGTTTAACCAACGCGCCAGCAGACCAGCGGCGTTTAACTGCAACCGTGGGATAGTTAAGGTTTAAGTGGCGCAAGCTTCGTTTCGTCGAGCCAATGAAATTCGAGGCAGTCCGGTCGTCCAGCAGCGCGAAGATATATGACAGCAGGCGTATCGTGTTGTGATACATCACAAAAATCAATAACAAACAGTGGCGAGCGGACCGCGTGTTAAAACGTGAATTTTATTGGACGTAAACGGTAGGATTCAAGCAGATGTGGTCAATCTGTTGTATGTCATGAGGAAGCGGTTCGTCCCAAAGTTTTCGTCCTCCGTTGCATAATATGCTTCGCAAAAGGTGGACGGTGAAAATAGGCCAACGG